AAGGTCAAACTAGGTTGCAGGGACTGTGCGCAGGAAATCAATCGGTGCAACAAGCCAGGCTTTTCATGAGCCGCTGAGCACCGGGGGGCTTGTTGGCCAGGTCCTCAAAACCTTGGGGCCCGGCCCAGCGGCTGAAATGCTGGAGCGAAGACGGGAACCCCGCCTCTCATGCGGGCTGTGAAGCGGATTGGGGGTTATGGCAGCAGGCTTGCAGGAAGTCAACCGGTGAGAGTGGCGGGATCCGGGCCCCAAAACCTTGGAAACCTCCTTCAGAAACCAAAGTGGATGGGGGTGAGGGTAGCAGGCTTGCAGGAAGCCAAGCCGGCGGGATCCAGGCCCCAGGGGCCTGTGGGCCAGCTCTTCATGGGGCTTGGGGCCCGGCCCACCAAGGGCCTGGGGCCTTTTCCCCACAAAATTACGGTTTTTCGCAAACCTCCTGGTGAAAGCCTGGCGAAGGCGTGGGTGTCGGCTGAAACGGCTGCTTCGAAGGTGGGACCCCCCCCCGCGTTTTGGGGCTGTAAGGGAGAAAAGAAAAGGGTTTTCACCCTCTCCGCCTTCAGCAACCATCCAACACGCCCCCCAAGGTCGGCGGATAGGGATAATTGAAAAGAAAATGGAAACCACTATAATGCGGTTGTATTGGCTTCAGGGTTGATGGCCTGAGCAGGCCGGGTGGGAGTTTTAGGATTTAGGGTCTGGGGTTTGGGGTTGAGGCTTTAGGGCTGAGGGTTTAGAGTTTAGGGTGTGGAGGTCAAGTTTTAGGGAGGGATTGTTTAAGATTTTGTGAGTCTAGGGTGTAATTTTTGCGTCTTAAAGCCAAATGCCATGCATTTTTCCCTGCAATCCAGGTAAACAAGGGATTCATAGGAAACATAGTACGCACATATCTATATATATATATATTATATGAGCTAGTGTCGATATTAAGTAGCCTTATTAAGGGACCCCCTTAACAGTAGACATTGGGGCCCTCTACTGTAGTAGTTTAGTCTTGACTGTAGTTCGCATTTATAGGTTACACACTAAGTACCATTTTGGTTCCGACTTTTGCTTCGGATTCCTAGCCCCTTGAGCTACACCCGCATCAATCCTGTTGATGACGGGTTGGGGTGGGGAGGGGGTGGGGCCCTAAACCCTAAACCCTAAACCGTAAACCTTAGACCCTAAACCTTAAACAAGCTCTCAGCTCGAAAGCCTGAACTCCCACCGCTACACAGCCCTAAATCCTAAACCCTCAACCCTAATCCAGAAGCCACAACCATACTCAACCTCAAACTCCAAACCCGAAACGCCTAACTCTGAATCCTTAACCCCAGATCCCAAACTCCGAGCCCTCAACCCTAAACCCCAAACTCTACATCCTGCTAACTGCTGAGCTTGCGTAGGTTAGAACTATGGGTCCTGAGTAGGGATCCTCAATCCTAGGGTCCTGACATACCCCCTACAAGCCCAATTCAGGGACCATAGTTAGGACCCAGGAATCAGCCCAAACCTTGAGCTCTTCACCCTAAACCCTTAACCCTAAACCCTAAGCCCTAAACCCTAAACCCTAAACCCCAAGCCCTAAACCCTAAGCCCTTAACCCTTAACGCCTATAAGCCCCAGGTCCGGCCCATAGGTAGGCCGCAGGCAGACTTTAGCTGAGGAGCTCTTTGACCTGGCAGATACGGATGGAAGTGGTGAGTTAGCCATTGAATCTGGGCAGGGTTTAGGGTTTAGGTGTTTGGGGTTTAAGGTTTGGGTGTTGGGGTTTAGGGTTTAGGGGTTTGGGGTTTAGGGGTTTGTGGTTTAGGGTTTAGGGTATGCGGTTTAGGGAGGGTTCGTGACTGAAATTTAGGGGTTATCTGGGGGGGGGTATACAGGGATGTATAGGGCTTAGCGATCAGGGTGCGTGTGTGTGAAAGGGAACGTTGCATTTCTCAAGCCTCGGTTTGGGGTTATGCGAGGTGATCATTACTTTCAGAAACGCTCATTTAAGGGCGGTTTTTTGGGGCCTTGATTGGACTGGAATAGCTTAAACCCTGAACCCTAATAGTAAAGGAATGAATGGGTTGCTGGAGATTGAACTGTTGAGCCAATAAGGGCCTATAGCCAGTAAGAAGGGGAGTTGCTGAAGCTCTGAATCACATAACAGATTCATCCTATCTTCCAGTAGTCTACCCAACAGGGTAGTTTCCCAAAATAAGGGGACCCCAATATAGACCCAAAGATACTATAGTCCTTAGCATAGGGACCCCAAAAAAGGGTACCCCCAATTTTGGGAACCCTCAATATTCTATCCACTTGATTGGGGCCGTGAAAATCGTAGCCCTTCAGGCATAGGGCTGCGCTGGATTCAGGGCTCATGTTTGACAATCTTTAGGTGCTTTCTAGGCTGACGAATGTGTCGCAGCACGAGTATTCAGTCCGAGCAAACCCTTTCGCTCCGAAAGGTCCTGTGTACACCATAGTCCCCGAGTAACCAAGGGCTCTGAGTGGCATAGTTCTCGACAAGCTGTGCTAGATCCTGTCCATGTGTCGCAACTCCACCGGATGAAGGGCTGTTGTTATTCAGTTTCAGCATGCAAGGTGCATCAGCTCGTTCATGTTGACTACAAGTGCTATCTGTGAATTCATGCTGTGGCTGAACTTGTTGATGATCTCAGGAAGAGATGCACGCCATCGAGGAAGCAGGCCACGTTCCCTATCAAATTCTGGACAGGGCGTCTGTGAACAGCATGACCGAGCTTTTTCACGTTCTGGCGCCTTGACCTGAATTTCTGCAATCTTAGGGTTATATTGATTGGGGGTATATTGGGATAATGGAAAACAAAATGGAAATTGATTGGGTGTATGTTGGGATAATGGAAAACAAAATGGAAATTGATTGGGGGTATATTGGGAAAATGGAAAACAAAATGGAAACTACTATTTAGGGTTTAGGGTTTAGGGTGTTGAAGAAGCGGCGGATTTCAGCAATTACCGCTACCGGTTTGGGTCTCTCTATATCAAGGATCACTGTCTAGGCGACCCCAATATAGAGCCCCAAAATACCATAATCCTTACTA